TGCTCTTTATCTTTATTTAGATTCTTAAAAGGGCAACACCATAATTGAAGTGGCTTTTCTAATGCAAGAAATCTGTACTGAAGGATTTTGGAAGTTTATTACATGGATTTTTTGTTTTTCAAATTTTCATGTTACTGACTTGTGTGCAGAAATTGGTTATATTATTCTCTGATGGTGTTTCGTAATCACAGTGAATTCTTTTTTATCCATGCCGTATGATATGATGCCATAATTCATGTGCTTTCCAATTAACAAAACAAGTAACTGAATCCATGGTAATGTGAGATAAAAACATCAGAAGTAGAGTTCTAATAGAGAGGAGGAAGCAGCCATGGGATTGAGGAGTCTCAATTCACATGTTGTTGCAGTACTAATGATGTATGGGGAATTTAAAGGGTATGTGTAATGTTCTTTGGGGAGTTGAAAGGGTTTAGGTGTCTATATTAATTAATCTTGTTTGGGGACTGGCTGTTATTATTGATGTTTAATTACTGCATGTAGCTGTTCAAAATGCTTAACCTTGTTCCTATATTGTGTGAAGCAGTTAATTGCTAAGCTTAATGAGGAAGATCTACCTGAAGCAGTTTCTATATTCACGGAAGAACTTTTAATGCAAGCTGAGTTGTCTGTAGTAGGATCTTCTGACGATCAAACTATTGCCTACACCGTTGCTACTGTGGCAGCTTGGTTGAGACTTTACCACGTTATAGGTCAGCATTTTATGAATTGGATCCGAGGCAAGATTGAAGGAAATCACCTATACCAAGACTGGTTTGACCGAGGTTGGTTCAAGTTTTTTGGTTGCGTTCATCGAAACTGGTTTGATTTTTATGCTTCTGCTGAGTTTAAGGAGTTGGTTGCGCAAACTGAATTCCTTCTTGATCAATCATGTCAGAATTTGTCCGAGGTCCAGCTTCAAATACTTGATAATCGCTACAGAACTAGCCTAAAAGATGCAGTATCTTTCTTTTCCCACGAATCTGTGCATGCATCTGTCCGAGCTGTAGTTCCTATTCTACCAAAGCCTCCTAAAAGATCTGATGTCTATTTGATTTGTCAGTTGGCTAGTGTAATTTCATTTAAGCAAAATTGTAGCCCTTCATATGATTCAGGTCTTCTGGTGGAGCTGGAACCAAACTATCAAAACTTGGTGAAAAGCTTAACTCCTATTGTGTCGGTGGTGACAATGTAAAAGTGGGAGAAGTTTTTGATAGCCTTTCACAATTAAGAGAAATTTTATATCGAAATGTTGAAGAGTCCCAGAAGTTGGTTGGTATTGACCGAAGGCGTATGCATAAGACTTCTCGTGAAAATGTTTCGGTTAATCCAGACTTTATTTCACTGATTAATAAACTTCACAACAAGGAGGACTTCAATGGATTTGTTCATGTCTACTCGCTGGATTTTTCCTCAGACTTCGTCTCTAATATTTTTGAAACAGGTAGTTTACTTTGTCTCTAATATCTTTTATATGTTTATACCTTCTAAAAAGCTATGATCTACAGGCTTTGCTTCTATCATATTCACATGCTTGCTTCCAAATGTTTGTACTGAATTAGAAAATTCTACATTAAAATTATGATTAAATTTATCCGATACTTTTCCTACATGCATTAAACTAATGCTCAAATTTTTGTAATCTCCTTTCATATTATAATTCTTAGTCCTAATGCTAATTTTAATATATTTGCTAAATTCTTTTATTGCCATTACATAATTTGGTATGCATCCTATGACTGCTATATTGACACTAAGATCTACTTCGGCTGTTGCTATGTGACGCAGCACAAGCAACAAAGGTTTCGACGAAAACCTTGAGTAACAAGAAATCTGGATTCCGCCAGAAATTGAGAGTAATTCTCTTGGGATAATTTTTATTCAAATCTGAATTACTAAAAAAACGTTCACCAAACCTGTCTAAATACACATCTCTCAACCCTTGAGCTGCTAGGGGAGTTATTACATTAAAACTGAAAAGTAGAATTTATTCCGGAAATTAATTACGAAACTTTGAATGCAGTTTTGAAATGCCAAACGACCTCAAGATGCCAAAATCCATCATACCTCACAGCTTTGGCGTCGTTCCCTTTCCGAAATGGTATTTTGCGTCCTAATCGGAGCTCAGACGACAAATCTGCAAATTCCCGCCACGTCCTTTTTCTAGCTCAACCGCGATATAATCCGCCATTTGTTCTACATCACTATGGCAGCTTGCAAGTAATTATCTCACCTATCATCATATATGTATACAAGTGCCATGAGGAATGGAACTGCAAAATCACTAGCTGGCTTGTCCCACTGAGTTAAAACCCCAGACTTCGTTATAAACTTGTTATTCATATATATAACTGGAAAACCATTAATCCCAACTCAGCGAGAGGGAAGCACAGGACTTCTGAAACATGCCCAACATAAAAACAACACAACATATATCAAACCAACACCACCTGAAATTTAACCAAAAAAACAATTTTTCTTTGCCACTAACTTATAAATTCCTATAAATTACTAATATTTATAGCCCGTCAGTTCAAGTTCCAGTGCGAGTGCCAGCCTTCTTATCAGAAAGCCCAGTTTCAACTTTCTCCTCATCATTCTTGGCCAGCCCAAAAGTGCTTTTCACAGCATCAGCAGCACCCTGAGCCATGTGCTTCATCTGTTCTCCAGTCTGCTGCAGTACCCCACTGGTTTTCTCTTTGCCATGCTCGGCTGTCTCTCTGGCCTTCCGGGCTGCTTCTTCTGCCCTCTGTTTTGCAGCCTCTGCCTTCTCTGCTGCCTTGTCTTTGACTTGGTAGGTAGCTCCCTGGGTTTTGTCCTTGGCTGCTTGGCCCGTCTCGGATGTCTTGTCCCTTGTTGCTTGGGTTGTGTCTTGGGCCTTGTCCCTTCCTTCTTGGGCCCTCTCCCCTATTGAGCCCATCATCTGGCCAGCCTTTTCCTGAGAGACCAAGGGTAAAACCATAAAATCTCAATGAATATTGCATCACTACTTTTTATTGTTTTATTTTTATAAATAATAAAAGCGGTAGTCTGAACTACAAATGGGAAATATATTTCTCACGCACTACCAAGATGTCGTACCATGAGAGGTTAGAAGATGAGATCATTTATCTATAAGTCAAGGACTTTTTCCCATTGAGAAAGAGACCGTTGGGTCATCACTATTGCTTCTAAGTATACACAAAAATATTCCCTTTGTATGTATTTGATGTTTCAAAAAATCATTATCAACCACATAGTGAACGCAGAATTTCACTCAAAACAGTCAAATTAACCGTCTGATAATATAACATACACGACAGTCACTACTACATATTCACAAAAATACTCTCTTTGTATTTTCACACTTGATGTTTCAGAAATTCAATTTGAACAACACAAGTGAACATAAAATTTCACTTAAAAAACAAAGTCTTATTAACAGTCTAATAACATAACACACGGTAACAAAATACAAACAATAATAGAAAACTTACAATCTAATAACATAACAAACGATATCAAAGTACAAACAATAACAGAAAACTAGGTAAATACCTCAGCTTGGCCCTTGGCTTCACCAGCTCCGTAGCTCTGCTTCTGGGATGCCATTTTTGCCTTCTAAAAAAGTGAATAAGAGCGATGTATTTAGAGTTTATCAAAATTGTGTGCGTCTTCCAACTTTGAGATATATGCTGATGAGAAGGAACGGTGGCAGTATGCATGGTATATATAGCATTCTCATGTGGGCTGGCTGGTCAACATGTGTCCACTTTGTTGACACGTCGTATGACACGTGCTTTTCTTTCTGAAACTCTGACATGCAAGTGTTGGATGTGGAGGGTTTACACGATTGTTTATTACTGTGCTCTATTTTTAGAAAACTTGTAAATAAACCGTTTACATCACATTGCAATAAAAAATTGGGAGTTTCACTAAAACACTCAAAATAGGGGTTGAAATTATAAAAAAATCTAAGCACTATTTAAACATATAAACACACCCAAAACCCATCATTACACACACTCAAAACTCATTTATAAACACACCTAAAAAGTTGACTTTGGAGTTGATTTTAGGTGTGTTTCTATGTTTAAATAGTGCTCGGGTTTTTTTTATAAATACATGTCTAGGATTGAGTTTATTTATAAATTTGTATACAAAATTTCAGTAAAAAAAAAAAAAAACATTGCCATAAAATTTTTAGAGGTAGGTAAGGGGTTTGTAACTCAACTGGTTAAGAACATATTTACTCTTACATCTTAGATTTTAAGTTCAATTCATTATTCTCTCAATATCGCTTGTATAAAAAAAAAAAAAAATTAGTGATCCATATGAGATTATTTAGGAACTAGGTTCAATTTGCTTGTTAAATAATATCGACAAGGGTGGTGCTATTTGTACCCTATTTATTGACCACATTGATGATTATCTCTCTAATAGAGGTCTGTTCAGAGAATAATGCTAGCCAAAAACAAAAATAGCAGGAAACCTGTAATTTGGGTTAAATAATTTCAAGATCACCAGTTAATATATATATATATATATATATATTTTAGTACAAACAATAGTCTAAATTACAGGAGAGGGAGGGTTTCTCACACACACACAACCAAGATGTCATGGGGTTTGAACCTGAGACCTCTAGTCTGCAAGTCAAGACCCTTTTTTCCACTGGACTAGACCTCGTTGGGATAATTTTCTTAATATGTTATAATTGGGTTAAAATGTTTAATTTCAATTCAATAAAGTATTTTCTTTTAATAAAAATATTAGAGTATTTTCCTTCCACTACTTCACATGAGTGTTTCCTTATATGTTGTTTAATATGTTACACATATGAGAGCAGTTATCATTTGAAAGAAAAATACTACAATAATCAGAAAAATACTCAAACAACTAGTATAATTTGCACAAGGCCAACAAGAAAATAAGCCATTAATTTCTTATGGTAATTAAGCTTAATTAATCCTCCCGGAGCCTATGCCAAGGGACTCTCTTTCTTGACTAAGCAAACCTGTTTGAAACAGTCCCCTATCAATACATGCCATCCATGCTACTGATTAAACGCAAAAAAATGGGGTAGGAAACTTTGAAGTGGCAAGAATAGGAGACTTTGAGAATCTATATATACTCTTCAAATGGAAGAGCTTTGCATTGTGCATTCTTACTTTGAAATTTGAGTCAATTTGATTGAAGAAACAAAATCAAGCACAAAAATGGCAAGCCACCAAAATCAGGATTTGAGTCACAAGGCAGGCGAGTTGACTGGTCAAGCTCAGGCAAGTTATAACTGTGATTAATTTTGTATAATATGAAATTAGGGTTGGTGTTTTGTAATCAATTTTTCATCCCATCAAGTTAATCCATGTTTTTTTTAAATTAATATTTTCCTGATCTAATTAATTTGTGTAGGTAAAGAAAGATGAGTTTCTAAACCAGGCATCAGATATGTCTCAATCTGTCCAGAATAAGGCATCAAATGCATCTCAGTCTGTCCAGAACAAGGCATCAAATGCATCTCAGTCTGTCCAGAACAAGGCATCAAATGCATCTCAATCTGCTCAGGACAAGACATCAAATGTATCTCAGTCTGCCCAGGACAAGGCATCAAATGTATCTCAATCTACCCAGGACAAGGCATCAAATGCATCTCACACTGCCCAAGACATCAAGGACCAAGCCACCCATCTCCTTCAACAGGCAATCACTTCCTCCCCTTTCCTTATTATTTCAATGATTTTTGTTCTTAAATATATGTAGTATAAGAAGTTACTCAGAATTTAATCAAACATATAAGCCAATTCAATTAGTATCATCTCATTACTCTAATTAGTGATAAAAAAAAGCTAGTCCAAATCAACCTCACTCTATGATTATCTTTCAGTACTCCAAATTCACTTTTTATTATATTAAAACATTCACCTAATGTAAATGTGAGTTAGGTCAGTTAGTCAAGGTAGTGTGTATGTCTTTTTGCACTGGAGTTCGACTCATTCTCTATACATTAAAATAATTTAAAATATCATTCTTGTCAAAAACATTAACATAATAAATACAAAATGACAAATTGGGAATGTGATTAATATAACTATATTCTTGTATATATATGTATGTTACAAGTGTGTTTGATTGCAGACAAGTGAGCAAGTGAAAAACATGGCTCAAGGAGCAGCTGAAGCGGTTAAGAGCACTTTGGGAATGAACAACCCAAACGACCCAAACAGTAACCCAAGCAATGCAAACATGAACCCAAGCAACCCAAGCAAACCAAGCATTAACCCAAACAACCCAAGGATTTAAAGTGCTTTCTTCAATAATGCTAGGCTTTGCCTTCACTCGCATCTAAAGTTTCGATGACGTGGTGTCATGGCAATTAGCCCTCCGCTGTGGAAATGGCTATGTTTTGTTTTCTTTCAGATGCAACATATTGTATTTTTTTCCCTTTGTGTTTTGGTTTTTGGTAAATAAAAGAAGACATCCATATTCCTTCTTTGTTAAGAGTGTTGTGAAAATGGATTAATGTTAAGAAAAGAAAAAAGAGTGTGGTTCTCATATCCTTATTTTTGTCTCTTTAAATTTTCTCTAATCTCTATTTTTACTATTTAACGGTAAAAGAGTCGTGCCATATATACCATATACTGATAGCTAATACATCTCGCACAAAAAAATCTTATGTACGGTTTTTCGAAAAAAAATATGATCAATAATTGTGATACAACTAAATCTAATTTTGCACTATGCAAGAGGAGTGCAAATAGAACTTTTGTTATTATTATATTTTGTAAATCTGATGTGTCAACATAAGATTTATGTAAAGAAGCATCTCCAGTAATGCTAGCCAAAATTTAGTTAATTTAACTTTGAATAATTGTTTCTTTAAAGTAAAACCCATTGTTACTTCAAACTTTGTACATTAGAAGGACATGTCTAGCTTCATTTTCTTCTCATGACTAGCCACTTTTTTTTTTAAAAAAAAAAAACCCCACCCCCCTCTATCTTCGTCTTATTTTTCCATCTTTCTTCATCTCTCTTGATCTTTTGCTATTCTTTCGGGTTGTTGTTTTTAGTCAAGTATAGATTTGTGTATTGCACGCGTCTTTGATGTATGGTTGAATTTTTTTTTTTAGAATTAGCAATAGATACATTGCATTGGAGAGGGGGCACTTATCCTGAGATTCGAAGAGGTGACCAAGGTGGGGAAGGGGGAGGGACCTCACCACTGAGGTAAACCCCTCGGTCTGCTGATTTTATTTTATTTTAATGAATATCGATGTTTGATAAATAAAAAACACGAACAAGTTGATATATTAATGACTCATTGAAGTTATGTGTGTCCACGTGTTCACGTGTGAAATTTGTTGAAGTCAATTAATAAATGACTTGTAAAGAGTATATGGGTAATTTTATATAAAAAAAACTTAAAATATATCTTTTACATTTCTTCTTCTCATATAAACAGAATAACTCAAAAATCACCCAGAGAAACGAAGATAACAAAGTGTTACTATTATGTTAAGTTTTTTTCTTGCACTAGACTTAAAGTGGACTTTAGATTAATAAAAATTTAAATTCCCATATGACATGTAAACTCTCATAAAAAGTGATTAACTAGTTTTCGATCTAGTGATATTCTTCTATAATCTAAATTCAGATTCGAATTGATGCTCTATCATAACTGTGGAAGTAAGTCACAACGCATAAGTCATCAAAATGCACCAAGTGTGGGCTAAAATATGCGATAGATGTGAAAGAAAATATTTTTGAGCCATGCCCACCACCACCACCTACCTCACCAAGAAATTAAAAACGAAAGTCAGATTAAAATGACATCAGCATATCAAAATCAAAAGCTATTCAACCCGATTGAGATGAGTACCATAATTACAATCTAGAACTTAGCGTACCAAATCACTGCCCCAAAAAGAGCCAGAGATCTTCTAACAACACAACCCAGGGTACAACGAGGCACTGTGTTTGCAACCTCGAAAAAAGTTGGGAATCAATTTCTCTCATTTTTCTCTTCTTCTTCTTCTTCTTCTTCTTCCTCCTCTTGTTGCAGAGCCAGAAAGTAGGGAGAGAAAGCCACAATTTGTAGAGAGAGAAAGAGAGCGAGAAGAATGTCTTTAACGGGTGTGAAAATGTCCGAGGACGTTTGGTTGACATGTCTCACTCATGCATTGTCCACCGAGACCGAGGAGATCATGGGCCTCCTTCTTGGTGATATTGAGGTACACTCTCTGCCATTTCCATCTTCAAATTCTTTGGCTTCTACTTATGTTATGCATGTATTAGGTTTTCTTACTGTACGGCTGTTGAAATTGCTTGATCGGTTTGATGCTTGGAGTAAATGTAGAGCTGGAATAGTTTGGGTATTTGGGGTTGTTTTCTGAAATGGTTTAGAAAGGTTAGGTTTAACGAGCTTAGTTGTTTTTTCTTTGAATTTTGGGTCAGTTTAGATTTCGAATTTGGCATATTAATGTTCCTTGCTAACTAGACTAGTTCTCGGGGTTTCCTCTAATTCGATTGGTACTTTAATAAGTTTACTCTGGGTTTCATAATTATTAAAAACCACTGAGTACATGTGTTCAAATGCAAATTGTTTGATATGCCTACTTGAACTTGATTTTAGAATACTGTGCTTTGTCAGCGTTGTTATATTTTCTTCGCTAATAACTATCATTCATTTGGTTATTCTTTTAATTTCTATTCAGCTAGGAACTTTGCTAAGTCCAGATGAAATTTGAAATTTTAGCTACATTATAAAATTGCTCCATGGGCTCTATTTGGGAAGGCTTATTCAGGGCATATGACAAACGTTAGAACACTCATACAGAAATAGAACATTTACACAGAAATAAAAGGACGCATCAGCCTTGTTTTTCTAGCAAATCAACATGCTAACTCATCTTTTATATCTGTGCATGATGTTCTTGCCTGCTCTTGGGATTTAAAGACTTGCAGTGATGCATAAAATTGGTGTTGTTTTGTATTAGGCTAGTTGATTCAGTGTTCCAGTACAAATTTCACATCCAGCACCATTTCTGGTTGCCAATTTCCAATATCTCATTGATAATGAGTTGAGACTCAATGGTTCCTTCAATATGTTGCTGCAGGGTCTTTGTTTTTGCACTCTAAGATCCCTTTCCTCGAAAAGCACTGTAATTCCATTCACTCTTGTCAGACCCAGGTGCATACAAGGAATCTAGACAAGCTTGCACAGTTTCTTGTTTCACCTGTTCTGTTGGTGTTTTGGTGCTTCTTTTTTTATTAATATTTTTTTGGCAAGTGTTTTGGTGGTTTGGTGCTTAAGTGGAAGTTCCCAGGGGCTTGGCCTTATTAATTGTTACTCATTAAGATGTGGAAGAGAAATAATTGCATGTTTGGCAATCTTCTGAAAGTGAGAAGTTTTTATAATTTTTTTTTCTTTTGTGAAGCCATTTGCTGAAGGTGATAGATATATGATGGACAACTGAATTTGGTTATGATTTATACAATGATTTTATTATAATTTGGATTTATCCGCTTTGTCTGGCTCTCTGTTTATACCTTAATTTTGTATCGCTTTCTTGTAGTCATAACATTTTCTTCCCCCAATGATGTTGGGAATTTCAGAACTCTGTAAATGGAGGTGTGACTGCACTAATTTGGGGAGCATCACCTCAAACACGATCTGATCGGAGGAAGGACCGTGTGGAGACTAATCCTGAGCAGTTGGCTGCTGCATCAGCCCAGGCCGAAATATCCTTGATGCTTTATTTTTTTATAAATATTTGAAAATTAATCTTTTTATGTTTTCATTACAAAAGGAAAAAACCAAAAATGGGTTCTTAACATCCCTATTTAGAGAAAAACTGGTTCTAATTTCTCTCATGATCCCCCATAGTAAACATTACAGTTGATATTTTTAAAAGTGCTCTGCTTTAAGGGAAGCACTATAGGTTTTCACAATAAGCTTTGATTGTTATTGTTTGGTGAATTTTCTCCCAACTGAACTTCTATTACTTGGATCCCTTGCCATGTAAACCCATGCTTGCTTAAACTACACAGTATGACGTCAGTCACAAAAAATTATATCGTTAGGTTGTGCTGTACTTATTTAGTTTATTAGGATTTGTTTTTAACATAGTTTTCAACACTGCCTCGGCTTTAAAATTGTGATATAAATTCATAAAAAAAAAAAACAAAGCTATTTTTGTTCAGCAATCTAAATCATGCCACTCAAAAGGAAAAAAAAATTTGTGAATGCATCCTCATGAGCTGGGGGTTTTGGGCTGGAAATTTGGGAATATGTTCAGTTGGTTCAACATTTACATTCTTTAGTTATATAGCTATCATAGTTGTAGTGGCTCATGGTATTTCCATGCTCCGCATCTGTTTTGCTTCTTTACTTTTGAGGATTTTTTTTATGATACTGTGTAATTAACTCTATAGCACAGAATGACAACGTCAACAGGAAGAACAACTAGGGTGATTGGGTGGTACCATTCGCATCCTCATATTACGGTTCTTCCTTCCCATGTTGGTGAGTGTTATGTAATTACCCCTGCTTTCTGTCATTATCACATTCATTCTTCAATTTCATGAGGTGGGGCTATCATAAGTAGAGTTTAGTTATATAGCTTATCAGATTACTTGGGATTGTTATACTCATGAATCTGGGAGTTCTTCTTTGGAAAATATAAAAAGTTAATTGGTAGAAACCTGGATACATTCATGGATCATCAATCACCACTTATATGGTGTATATTTAGTTTGTAAGTTTCCAGGATTTATAAGTATGAGTCTGCACATACTGTGCCAGAGGGAGAAAATGTAGGGCCTATAAAATGCTTTGACTGGATGGAAAGTTATGGTCGATTTCGGGGTTGTGGAATTTTGTCTTGTTTTAACCTGGATTACAAAACACAAATAAATGGAATGTGAAGTTAGCAGCCAAAGTAGCCAATAATTCAAGCTGTGATCGTTTATCATGCTTTTGCATTAAATTTTACTTTTTTACATTTCTTATCAAATTAAAGACTGCCAAATCTTAGAAACCCATCCTTCAACTTTCTCTCTGTTTTCCATCTCAGAGTCCCCAAACATGTATCCAAATAACTGTAAGACCAGACAAAAAAGGAACAAAAAAGAGTTAATAAAGGAGGAGACTTTACAGTTAGCCAGAGAGGTTAAAGGACACTCCTTGTACATTATGTAGCAAGCTAATGTTTCCAGTAGAGCAATCAAGGATTATTTTTTTGTTGCCGCTTACATTTTCAACTGTTAGATGGTAAAGATCGAAAAGTTGAAGATGTGTGTGAAAATATGGTTTTATCTGTGGCCCATGAGTATGATCGATATATGTGTGTCAGTATGTATCGTGCTGTTACTCAACAGTAATCCATTGATATACTTTAAGTATTTTATTCTTTCTAACATTTGGACCAGATGATATTGTTATTTGTTAGACATGCTATCATAATCAGTTGCTCGAGTTGGTATTACAGCTGTGTTCTACTTTTTGCAGATGTGCGGACACAGGCAATGTATCAACTTCTAGATTCTGGGTTCATTGGGCTTATATTTTCCTGTTTTAGTGAAGATATAAACAAGGTTTGCATTATGCATGGTATTTGCAAAGTAGTGGGGATTCTTCTGCAGATATAAATGATTTTTCTTGTGACTATGTTCTTTAGTCATACTTGGTATTTTCAGGTCGGACGAATCCAAGTAATTGCTTTTCAGTCCTCAGATGGGAAGCAGCATCACATGTCAAGACCTATATCTTTATCTCCTGTAAATAAAAGTCCAGTTATAGAAGTTGAATCATCTTTAAGTACCTCTGAAAATGAACCTGCAAGATCCTTTAGAGCAGAGTGTCCTGAACAAGACACAGCTGATTCAAGAACTTCTGGAACTATAAAGGTACTATATCCATTCCAAATTTCTAATAAAATTGCAAAAAAAAGAGGAAATTAAAACAATGTTAATTGATCCTGGCAGCAGAGCCCTAATACCAGTTAGTTTTCATGATAGCTGATTACAAATCTGTGTCTTGCTACTTGTTTTACTGAGTAAATTTTTGACTATTGATCATATATATTGTTTTGATATCTTGATGTATTGTGAATGATGAAACTCATAAGTTTCTTTCCTTCCATGTAAGTTCAAAACTTAGCCTTTATGCAGATACCTAATTGCCTGTGCATCCATCCGTCCATTAATTCATATTTCCACAGCAGTGATGTTTAAATGGCAAAATTTCATTTTGATCAATATGCAATTGTCAATATATATTTTAATTATAATTGATGGACTGAGTGGGCTTGGTAATTAACTATGTTCAGCGGGTTAAGCAAATATATGAACGGACATACACAATGTGCTCACCTACCTTTGACACTTATTTAAAATCATAGTATGATTTTTTTTTTTAATAATAGTTGTACGTAAAAAAAGATATTGAGGTTAATTGGAGTATTCGTAGGATAAATATTTATCAAAAGAGAAGCTAGGTAAAATGGCTGCCTCTTTATGAGGACGCAACCAGTGTTTTTTTGAGAGAGGGTCTTTGTTGTGCGCCCATATTACCCATACATAATAGTGAATTGCTGATAATTTTCCTTAGGTGGTGTTTCATTCAAACTCGTTTTGACTTGTGTGCATGTTGGCTAGTAGGATAATGGCAAAAATTACTTTAGATTGTCGTCTCCATGAAGCATGTACATAAGAAATATTATCTGGAATACATGTACGAACTATCATATAGCTTTGGAAGGATCTAGCTTGTTCCAGCTACTTTTTCCCAATATACTCAGTCATCATCTCAAATTTCATCATATGAGTCATGGAAGCAGGCATATAGCCTACCAGATTATATGACCACCCTGGTAATGACAGTTTGTAAAAAAGACAAAAAGGGAAAACAAAAGAAGAAACAAGAAAAAGGAAAAAGAAAAAGAAAGCATTGGTACTGAGTTTGTGTGCTAAGTAACTCAGTAGTTTCTTGCCCTGATTGCTTTGTTAGTGCCTGAAGTCACAGGATGTGTCTTACTGAATAGGAGCTCAATTCTAGTAGTGACAGTTTCTTGTTGCATATTTGCTTGTCTAGAGGATACTGTTTTCATGCTGCTTGCTTTATGCTATGCATAAATTATGGGTGATTTGCTTAGGGTGGGGGACGATCTTCAGACCTGGGGCTTTTGTTTGCTAATGCTGATGCAAATCATCTAGAAAAAGAAAGAATTGGAGGAAACCACCACACTAACACTTCAGACATCATCATTGCCGATATAGATCACATGGATATGTCAGAGAGCATGCAAGAAGCAATGCACCGTTCGAATTTGGATATGAGGTATGCATGACTTTGTACTCTATCCACACAGTTTCTATTTCTATTTTCATTGTGTAAATTGTGGACTTGGTACATGTTATAAGTGTTTTAACACGAGTAATAGCTTCGCTAATTAAAGAATAAATTCAAAACAGTTAGCATTTATGTCTGGCAGCAGAGTTAACAGCATTTCTGTGGCTGCCTATATTTCCTCGAAAAGAAATGAGAAAATGCCCATATTTCATTGGTTCATAAATCTGTGCCTTCTTGCCGTAAATCCATTGCCTTTGTCTAAAAGCAAGACACTTGAGAAATGGCCTAGTATTTTTATTTTTTTTGTTGGTTCCCTGGCAGAATAATGTTTTTCCCCTTTATTCCTGATCCTTCCTTGATCCCTCACTGTTATTTATGGTTGATGTAATGTTGTCTTCTGCGTATTCAATTTACACATCTCTCTTCTCTCACTCATGTAAAATTCCTGGATGTTTTCATGCATCAAAACATAAATGTTAGTTTGAGTAAAAATTTTGCGTTTGCTGGATGAGTCATTTAGGTCTATATCACTGTATTTTCTTGTACATTTATTTGATTTTAAGGTCTATATTTTCAATCCCACACAAAAGAGTAGAGTAAAATTATAAAAACATCCACAGTTATCCATTAATGAATGAATAAACAACGTCCAATTCCATTCTGGATTCACAAAACACAATTTTGAATTTCTAATCCTAAATGTACTTTTTTTTAATCTTTTTTCTCTTAGTGGTGCCGAGTATGTCAGGAAAGAAGTTCCTCTCCATGTTTTACCGACCTCGTCTCTTATTAAACTCGATTCACCATTATTGTCATTTACGGAATTGCAACGAGTACTGTATGAAGAGGAGCGAGCAGCATATAACCAAGCTATCTCACAAAATATGAGGTGATCCATTGATATGTCATCACTTCATGTTGATCAACTCATTGTTGATTCTTTCTAATTGGTTTTGGTTTTGGTTTTGCTTAGGGATGGGAAAGTGCATCCACTTACTTACATACATCACACATCAATGTACCAGGCTTCCATGTGCAAATTAATTGAATATTGGTGAGTTATTTGCCCACCTCTCTGTTAGTTCTTTATGCCTGGTGTTTTGGTTTTTAATGTTTTACTGACTTTCTTCCAATTTTTAAATTTTATGCAGTTTAAGTCCTGCCATAAATGCACTGCAGTGTCGGTTAAGAGAGAATGAAATTCGGGTAAATAACCATGCCATTTGTAGATAGTAAGGATGGTTTGCTGATCTCAAAAGATTTTCAAGTTTGATGGAATTTTAATGGAATTAGATTGATTTAAAGTTCAATGTTGAGGTTGAGCCATTTTAAAATTTCAACCTGGACATACTTCTTCTACATCCTAGATCTTCCCGTTCCGTCATCTGGCTTATATTCTTCATATAGCATTCAGACTGAATGACTTTATGAAATTACATTTGATGACTTTGGTCCTTGGCCATGCACAAGTGATTCTGATGGAGGCCCCAAATTTCCTTTCTTTTAGTTCCTAGTTTGTAACATTCTAACAGAGTATCTTTCTCATGCTAACTATATTTATGGATGGATGGCCTTTGCTGAAACAGTTAGCAATGCTCACTGAAGAAGTGAAGAATTTGGAGACCGAGACACATAGAGCAAGCGAGCAAAGTTCAGGATCTCCTCGTCAAGTTCCATCGCCTCGTCAAATTTCGTCGCCTCGTCAAGTTTCGTCGCCTGTACCCCGAGGAAGTACTCCTTTAGGTCACAGGGACTTGTTTAGTCCAACTGAATCAATCAGTGCGAGAGGTCTAGCTGGTTCTGGTAGTCGAAGCCGAAAAGGATCATAATGCAATCTCAAAGCAATCCTCTGGTGTGCACGTTGTAGATTAGCTTGAGCGTGTTGGTTTACATAAACTAGTTTTGCTAAAATGGATTGCGCCATGTATGAAATGTGTTTTGAAATTTGCATCTGGTGTAGGCGCAACCTGTATGGTGTATGCAGGTATAATGAGAAGTTAAATGGAATTCAATTGTGGTTTTATATATGGCATTTGGGATTTGAACAAATTTGTTAAGAGTGCACCTTTTGAAGGTCCACGGGATTCTCTCCATTGCCTTTCTTATGTTCGTTCGTGTATTTTTCCTTTTGTTCTTCGGGTATGCAAGTCACCATGAAATTGAACGTATTGCGTGACCACAAGTTTACATATTAGTAGAGTTTGCGGTATTTATTACGTTTTAGTCATACAAATTGACTATACAGATCGTTGTACGCGTAAAAACAAGTAATATATTATTGATTAGCCAATAGAATCACGGTTCTGAAGCAATATAATTCAGGTAGGTCTTTAGACTCAAGTGTTCAAACTACGCAATACGCTGAACACAATGACCCTAAACTCAATAACATGACCAAAGAAGGATATATCCGAATCCAAGCGCAATGTTGTAATGGTGAAAGAAAATCACTCTAAAAACAACAATTAAAAAACCCCATTTCAACCGTCAAAGCCACACAACAAATTTGCTTGGTTTAACTTACAATTTATATAGAAGGTATTTGGATTTATTAGGGTAATATTTAGGATGATTTATATTCGGAATAATTATGACTTGGAATAAAAAGGATTGTGGTCAAACTCGTAAGATATTATGAGCATTTGCTATGTATATAAGAAGATAACAAAACGACAAAGGACTTGTAGGTCAAGTGATTAAGAGCATTTGCTATGTATATACAAAAAGATAGCATAACGACAACGGGGCTTGTATCGAAAAAAAGAAGATAGGAAAAGGATAAAGTGGGAGTAATTAACCTATCTCCTTTTATTAGGGTTTGGTTTTTTTAAAGAGGAAAAGGAATTCAACAAATTCAGCCTGAGGAATTAATATTATTGACGAGAGTAGGATACACAAAAAAGAAAGGTACCAAGAAAATATAAGTTAGTCGTAGTCATTCATGCATGGAAACGATTCCCGAGGAGAGAGAATCGAATCATCAGCTGCCCACTTCTCTTTGCTTCTTTACAGTTTGCCTCTCTTCCCCTTTACCCTTCTCCAAGAGAATGGAGGCCAGATCTCTCCTTATGTGCAGTTCTTTTTTGAGAGAGAGAGAGAGAGAGAGAGAGAGAGAGAGAAATATTGGAATAGCAGCCGCAGCGAAGAAAAGAAAAAGGAAAAAAAAGAAAGATGGTCAAAATGAACAACACCTCGAAGACTTGTTATTCCATCATCAGCTTCAACTTCCTTTATTGAAACTCACCATTTTGCTTCTTTTTCTGTTTTTGGTTTTATCATTTTTCTCCTTTTTGAGTTTCTCTCTTCAAGATACTATTCCCATCAATACAATTAAAGAAAAAGGAAAAGAAACACCAAAATTCCGTCAGGCAATAATCCCTAATAATATCTGAGTCTAACATATATACGTTATCAGTGGATAATTATCTACGCACGCGTGAATGATTGTAGTTAGCATTTTCTTCAAGGATACATATACCAGCTACGAGAATTTCTATTGTGGTAATAAAAATTTCAATTACAACGATAATTCTATGCTCTTTTTAATGTTCCAATGGGTGGTCTTGCCACATTTAGAAAGTTGGGTATTGTTTAACTCCACTTGAGCTGTCTGTAATTATGAAACGTAATAGGAATAAAGGAATATTCAAATTTGTAAAGCAAGAGCAATTTTTCCAATAAATTGACTGTCAATCTGCTGATTCTCAAAGTAAAATTGACAGAGACTAGACCCCCCTTGGGCCTTTGATGGATACAATTAAGATAACAAGTGGCCCTGCTAAGAGCTTTATGTTTAGGGAATATCTATTTCATGGAAGGAGATGCTGATTAGAATTCCACATTGTCCAATTACATTCATCCATCTGTGGGTTTCTATTTTTTTTTCCTTTTTCTGGGGGGCTGTTATTTTGTTACACCTATATATATGGATTTTTGTAGAAATGTCACCTGAACTTATACTTTAGTTTCAATTTGTCACCTCAAAGAAAAATTTAAGAGAAATGTTACCTTAATTTTTCAAAATCCATGATTTGTCATCTCAATTTAACACCATCTAATTTTCCATTCATTTTTAAGGGTATTTTAAAAATGGAATTTTTTATATAGATATCTTTTAAACAATTAAAATGGAAAAAAAAAAAAAAAAATCTCACGTTCCCTCATCTCTTGTGAGTCACTTGCGGCTCCAACCAACCCCGCTCACCTTGAAATCCATTCCCCCTTCCCTCTTCACAACCCCTTCCTCCTCTATCTACCATGAAACACCTACCCTCCACACAAAAATTCCCACAGCCCACCCAAACAGAGTCCACCTTTTTCTTCTTCTTTTTTCTTTTTGGTATTTTTTCATTTCCATGCTCAGAGAGAGAGAGAGACAAAGAGAGAGAAGAGGGGGAGGGGGTCCAGTGCGATGTGTTTGGGGGCAGGTGCGGTTGGGGTGGGTGAGAAAGGGAGAGAGAGGTCTATTTTTTATTATTTATTTATTTTTTTGAAAATGGAAAGACTAAAATCCCATTAAAAATGGATGGTGTTAAAGTCAGATGACAAATAATGAGTTTTGAAAAATTAAGATGACATTTCTCCTAAATTGTTCTTTAAAGTGACAAATTAAAATTGAGGTATAAATTCAAGTGACATTTCTACAAAAATCCCAAACATATATAGGCCGTGGCAGCTCAATTTGATAGCCATATTAATGAAGTAAAGGGGGTCTTGAATTAGGCTACAGAATCTGTATTTTCTTTTTGTGGGTCTTGAATTGTTGGGCTAGCGTGCTAGACCTGCAAGGCTGAATCAGATTGTTCCCTTTGGTCAGCCTAATCACTTCAATTAATCTTAAAGATGGCGGGCTAGCTTACTAGCCATCATATTGGTTGTGTGAAAACTTGTGACTTTTAATTTCAGGTTACGTTTTCACTATGATCTGCTATTCTTTTCATTGCATGCTTGTATATGTTTTGCCTTTGGATATTGGAAGTAATTATTAACTTGTCCTACAATAACGATCTAGATCTCTTCATTTTCACTCTCTCTCTCACACACACATTATATACATCTTTGCAAAAATCTCACTTTCGTAAGAGATGTGATCAGTAATGAAATAAGTTACAAACTAATCTTTTTTTTTATTTTTTTTATTTTTTTTATTTTTTAAAAAGGGGGACAACTGGTGGCAAGCCACGGCCATCCACCCCTTCCGGGACCCGGAGAGGCTATAGGGAATTTCACCCCGTCCCTGGCCCTCATCGCTTGATTCACCAACGGCAGGAATCGAACCCAGGATCTCCCGTTTACATAGGGCCTGGGAAACGCCCTTACCACTGGGCCAACCCGTGAGGGTTAGTTACAAACTAATCTTAAGAAAGAAGCAAATGTGAAAGTGGGTTACCAGCATGAATAGTAGTATATAGTACTAGTGTGTACATGCATGCATTATTTCTCACGTTAAAAATTATTTATAAAAAAAAAAAAAAAAAAAACCCTAAATTGAAAGAGGGCCAGTAAACAAAGTACATATTCAAAATTCAAAATATCCTCTCTTTGGAATCGTGGAATATCGAGTTCCCCTTCTCTTTTTCTTCCTTTAGATTTCTCTGATTCCATTTATCAAGGTTGCTAATTGAAGAATACGAAAAAGTAGTACACGGCCCTCCATTTATTCCCTTTTTCTGTGGCCTCACTTTGTATATATATAACCACTCCCTGCCTGCATGGCTCATCACTTCACCATTATCCCCTTCTTTCTTCTCCAACTTATCCAATACTGAAGAAGATTGATCCTTACATTTTCTTAAGGTTATTTCTCTTCTCTTCTCTCTCTCTCTCACAATGCTTTTTCTAACAATTTCTTTCCTTCTGAATCTTGATTTCTGGCTTCTCTTTTGTTTCAATTTAGTTTTATGTATGAATAATGAACATTTTCGATGCATTTAATTTCTTAATTTGTTTATAGCGAAGTAAGTTCATAATAAATCGTGCTGATATCGTGTTTATGTTTGAAACTAGGTCGCTTTAGGATAAAGTAAGTTATTGATACTAAGGGCTACCACATCTCTCATGCATAGAACTGTAGCTTCCATATAGGAATATCTATAAATAAATAAAAAAGCGACTTTATTTTAAATTTCAGAAACTTATTAATTAAAATACCATTTCTGAAACATTTTTAAAAATATATTAATGCAGATCAAAAGATGAGCAGGCCAGGAGATTGGAACTGCAGGTCATGCCAGCACCTCAACTTCCAGAGGCGTGACTCATGCCAACGCTGTGGAGATTCCAAGTCCGGCGTTGACTTTGGGGGGTTTGGTGGAAGAGGAGGAGGAGGATCTTCGTTTGGCTTCATGAGTACCGGCTCAGATGTTAGGCCTGGCGACTGGTATTGCGCTGCTGCCAACTGTGGGGCGCACAATTTTGCCAGCCGCTCCAGCTGCTTCAAATGTGGTGCTTTCAAGGATGACTCCGCCGCTGGTGGAGGCGGAGGCGGCTTTGACTCTGACATGCCACGCTCTCGGGGTTTCGGGTTAGGACTTGGTGGCGGTGCTGGCGGCGGTGCCCGACCTGGATGGAAATCTGGAGATTGGATTTGTACCAGGTGATAAATTCAGGAATATGCATATGTTACAATTAATACGTGTAATGTGTTTAGCTACAAATAATTTGGGATATATTTTCAGTATCAACAAAAGTTGGTCCTGGATAATTTGGACACAATCTTGCTTTTGGTTTGGCTACAGCTTGCTTTGTCAAGATGTATATTCAGCTAGTTTAGGTGCTCATTAAATATTGAAAATCTGACCAAAAAATAAAATTGAAAATCTGACCGAAAAAGTACTTACGTACTGAAAATATTCCTATTTCTTTGACTGCTTTTTCAAGTTAAATACTTTACGAATCTGTCTTTTTCTTTTCAAGAATTAAGTAAGTGAGTGGCTTAAAATTAAGATAGGTTAAGAGTTCGATTCATTCTAATATAACTATTTCTTCACACGTATAGAAAGTAGAGTATGGTTCTCGTTTTCCTCCCATTTATATCTATTTGTAACATT